GAACATCTGTGCCAAGGCAGAGGAGGAGGCCGGGCGCTCCGAGGCATCTCTGCCGGAGTCTCTTGACACTGTCCGATTGTTACTGTTTCAGTTTCTGCTTGGATCACTGACCGTGTCCATTTAGAGCAGGCTGGCTTGGGTGAAGCCTGGGTAGGGATTAGGAAGGACCCAGAAGACCCTTCTGACTGGCAGTGGGAGTGTGAGGTGGGCAGGGAGCTGGAGTAATTCTAAAATGACCAGGTTACAAGTGAGCTGCTGCAAAGTATAAGGTGACTCTTTCTAGTCTGTAACTTTGAATAAAGAAAGAGCATAAGAAAAATAGAAAAAAAATTATTTTAAAATATTTAATTTAAAAAAGTGAATCTTGCATCCACAAACGGGATCCTGGAGCGCTTCCGTTGTCCCCTCCACCAAGCTAATTGTTGTTAATCATTGCTGTTTATCCAGTCCAGTGTGTGTGCAGCCTCCCTCTTCTGACAGATGGGGGTTCAGCTCGACTTGGGGGCAAATGGGTGGAAAGCTACAGGTTTGATCCTTGTATGGGCCAGTTTGCTTCACACTGAGAAAAACCTGGCTACTTCCTTCCTCCCAGCGCCAGCTGCAAATTGGAGTTAAAGCCCAGATGGTTTATAGCTCCCTGCAAACCATTCTGGGTACTAGAAAGCCACATCAGTGTGTTTTGATGGTGACTGTAACCATATCTGGCCCCTGCAAATCAGCCTCTGATGGAGGATGAGCTAAGTTCCTTAGTTTCTTCCTCACTCAGGACATGCCCTGGAACTGGGAGTTCTGGGGACCAAGAGGTAGGCATCTGCCTCCTGCATAATTAGTTACATCAGTCTCAAAAAGCATTGACGGCCCATGCCTTTGAGCATCATGCTGTGCCTGGCACGAGCTAGTAATCCCGACCCAGTCCTGGCCCTCCCGAGTTTACAACCTTAAGTCACACAACAATGACACAGATCCCAAAGGCGGGCAGTTAACAAATACATCCACTTGTCCACCAATCACAAGGGATCCATTGAGAGAGCCACAGAGACAAACAGGGCCCCCTTCAAAGAGCTTCCAGTCTGGTGGGTAAATAGGTACGACTGAGTGAGGGCTGGGAGGAAAGGTTCCAGGGAGGAAATGCGGTCAATTTGGGCATCACTGAACAGACTTTTTTCTCTTAGCGCCTAATGACATGGGGCTGGATTTTCTGTCTACTTGAGCCACAACCCTCATCCTGGATGGAAGTTTTGGTTCCAGTCCTCTACGGTGGGGCTGATAATACAGAGGGCCAGAGGCAACGTTGCTCTGCGTGGCGTGGTGGGGAGAACCCCGGGCAAGGAGGCTGCGGCTGAAGGTGCTGGGCATAGGCTCGCCCTCTCTCCCTGGGTGGCCCGGGCGTGTCACCAGACCTCGCTTCCCTGGGCCTGACCGTCCGCAGTTAAGTTCCCCCACCCTCGTCCCGCTAGCCAGGAGTCCCAGCTGCCCGCTCTGCACTGGTGGCACAGGTTTGGGGCGGGAGCCCTAACAAGGCTCCAGGTTAAGTCATCCCTGGAGGTCCGGTTGCGGGGACTCCCCTGAGCGCTCCAGCCCGGCCTGGGTGGCTGGAGGAGCCGCGGCCGGCCGGTCCCCCAAACACTTCGACGGGCGCCAGCTCTCCGGGCGGCTTCCGAGGGCCGGGCTGGGCGGGGTTTCGCTCTCCCAGGCCGAAGGCTCTCCCGAGAGGTGCTCGCAGCCACGGGGCGCCGAGGCTCCCCGAGGGCGGGCTGCGCGCTGCGCTGGGCCGGGCCACTGCAGGGCCTGAGCGAGTGAGGAGGGCGGAGAGAGTGCGTGTGTGGAGAGAGCGCGCGGTAGCGCGAGCCGCCGGCCCGGGGAAGGGTGGGTCGGGGAGCGGCAGCGGCGGCTGCAGCAGGAGGAGCGAGCCGGGAACAGGGAGGTCGGCCGGGCTGGCGGGCCGGAGCCGCGGGGGGGAGGGCGGAGCGCGGAGGGCGGAGATGGGGCCGCGGAAGGGAGGGGGCGGGCGGGGCGCGGCCAGGGGGCGGGGCGCCGGGACCTGGGGAAGATAAGAGCGTGCTCGCAGCCAGCCAGGGCGGGAGTGAGGGAGGGGCGGGGGACTTAGAGACCAAAGAGGAGACAAAAGGACGGGGCGGGTGGGAGGGGCATAGACATGCGGGGGTACGGGAGGGGCGCCGGGGGACGCCTGGGAGGGAGGGGTGTGTGTGTGGGGGGACATGGTGTGGGAGGGGCTTAGAGAGGGACGTGAAGGGACAACATAAGAAGGGAGCACGGGGGTACGGAGAAAGGGGGGGCGGGAGTGCTCCACTACGCTGGCCACGAAGGGGAGGGGAGGCTGCGAAGGGGAGGCCGCTGGGAGGACTGGCCACATAGAAGGAGGGGGTCCTGGGGATGGACATTCCGCTGGGAAGGGGGGCCGGGGCTTCGGCGGGCATGGCAGGGGAAGGGTGAGCAGACACAGGGAAAGGGAGTGCTTCAAGATCCCGAGGGTGGAGGCGGATGGGCGTGTGTGGAGCGCTGAGGGCTGGGATTTAACGCGGCTGTTCGGGATGACCAAAAGAGCACTGTGGGGGCTGCACAGACGGGACGGGGCTACCAAGGCAGGGCGAAAACTGCCCAGGGGAAAGTGGGACCTACACTGGCTGGAGAAGGGTGGCGGGGCGGCCTCGGGCTCGGCAGGAAGGCGCCACCACCGCCCTCTGCCCGTCCCCAGCGTGCCCCGCCCCGTCCGGGGGCCCTAAGGGCAGAGGCCTGGGCCGTGGGGGATCCGAGCCAGGGCGGTACCATTCGGAACAGAGAGGGGGGCTTGGGGGGAAGGGAGGAGCCAGGGGTCAGAACCCTGTAGGGGGCGGGGGGGCGCCACACCCTGGGAAAAAGGCTTGGGCACATCCAGAATGAACCAATCAGCGAGCAAGGCCAGGGTGGCGTCAAGGGGCAGCTTCGGCCAATGGGAAGGGAGAACACTTCGGAGGTTCGGAGGAAGAAAAGAAAAAAAAGCCCCACGAAACAACAATCGAATCCGTTTGGGGGCTTGGAAGGCTGAGAGTGGGCGTCATTTATAGCACGTTCTGACGCCTGCCATCCCCTTTGAAGGATGGGATCGCTCGCATCACTCCTGGGCAGTGGGGAGCAAACGGAGCTGAGGAGGGTCCCGGGAAAGTAGACGGGGATTGGCCGTTTACTGGGGGCACTTGATTGGGCGCTTCAATTTGGGGGTGGGTGGGACGGAGGTGGCAGCTTTGTGCTCAAAAGAGTGAGAGCGTGTTGTGGTCTCTTAAACGGAGGCTAGAGTGGGCACGGGTCCCCCATTCCCCACCACTGGCTACGACTTAAGTGTCAACCAGCAAGTGGATCCTGGATAATCTCAAACCGATGGATAATTTTAAAATGCCGTTTGGACACTGAACACTGTTCAACATATTCGTTTCCCTTCCCTTCCCTTCCCTTCCAAGTCTCAGGTGGTTTCTTAAAAGGATGAGCAGTGGTAGGGGCCACAGCTACCACTGGGAAATTCATAGAAATTTCTCATGTGGCTTTTGGCTTCAGAGTTAATTTAGGATCCTAGTCCCCGATCAGTCACTATGTTAACGTGTAACACACACCACTCTTTTCTGAAATCTTTTGCCTACAAAGTAAAGGTATTGGGACTAGCTACCTTTGAGGTCTGAACATTTTGGAACTGATTTGGAGAGTGATGTCCTTGGAAGAGAGGGCTATATGGGGGGAATTGCAAACGAAAACTTGGAGTGGTAGAGATTTTGACTCAGGAACTCTAAATGTCTCTAAAGCCCCTGAAATTTTATGTGAAATGATATACATGTTTGTGCATTTTTCTGGAGAGGGTTCATAACTTTAACCAAATTTTCAGAGGGGCCTGTGACACAGAACAATTAATCCATTTTGCTCTAAAAATGCTGAGGGTGGGACTGAACTTCCAAAGCAGGAGGTGAAGTGCAGTAGTGGCATGTCTTTGGAATCAGAGGGGTTCCCTAAATTCCTTGGTAGGAATCCCAATTGCAGGGGCTCTTTGCTTATGCTTCTTGTCATCCAAAGAAAGGCAAGTTCCTCAGAGCTGAGAATCACATGTGAACTGCCATGTTGCAAAGTAATGCTGGAAGAAACTATATTTGAATGCATGGTAAGTGGTTGGCCCTGAGCTATGAAGGAAAGGGAATAGAGGTTTACTTCTGAAATCCCATCTACCTTATCTGTAAAGTAAGGGTAAAACTTCTCGGTCTTGTTATGAGAAAATAAGTTTGAGATACTCTGGACAGTAATCTGTATAAGCTGGGAAGCTCACACACGTCAAAAAAATGATAGTGGCTAGACTTGTGGGGGACAGAACCCAGCTTCAGCACCACCCTGGTCTTAGGATCAGTCTAGGACAGAATCCATTTGCAGAGTTTGTACATACTGTTTCTAGGTTCAGAGGTTAAAATATACTTTTTTTTTTTGAGACAATAGTCTTGCTCTGTTGCCAGGGCTAGAGTGCAGTGGCATCATATAGTTCACTGCAACCTCAAACTCCTGGGCTCAAGCAATCCTTCTCCCTCAGCGTCCCAAGTAGCTGGTACTGTAGGCATGTGACACCACACACAGGTGGTTTTTCCATTTTTGGTAGGAACAGGGTCTCCCTTTCGTTCAGGCTGGTCTCAAACTCCCGATCTTAAACGATCCTCCTGCCTTGGCCTCCCAGAGTATTAGGATTACTGGCGTGAGCCACTGTGCCTGGCCTAAAATATACAATATTTTATCACTATTCTTGACTCTTCAAACTGGCAGTTATTTATGGTGGATCATATCTGATGTGACATATTTAAGATCATACACTAGGGCAAAATTTCTCCATTTTGATTTAGGACCAACTGCATAATCCTTGGTAAGAAAATGGGGGACCCCTGACAAATACAACTTGAGAAATGCAGGGCTGGAGCATCCAAAGGTGTATGACTTGAAGAAAATGATTCAACTGAGGGACAACACAGAACACACTGTAGTTAAATAGATAAAAATGCCTTTATTTCTAAAATGTAGCTTAACTACACCCACAGTGTGCTAAGCCAGTTTTGGAATCCATCCTGCAGCAGAATAAAACTGGGCCAAACCAGGAGCAATCAGGGCTCCTGGTCCCAGGCATCAAGATGTCACTCTTCCAGCAACTCAATCTATAGAGTTTTTCTTCAGCTGTTTCTTGTGATGTGCGGAGAGTCGTATTGGATTCCCCTGTATGATAGAGAGGTCCGACCTTGAGGAAGACCGGTAGCCCACGTCCTCTGCTTTTATGGGCTTAATGATATGGCCTGCCTTGGTGACAATCTTGGGAGTAGTCAGTTTTTGGAAGGCCCTCTGGGTGTTCCATGTAGATCCTATAGGGGTCTGGATGGTCCTTTCAAATTGCCGATAGTGGGTGAATGGATATGGGAGCACTCGCACCTGGAAAGGAAGGGAGAGTGATTTGGTGTAAGCCAGGCCTAGGGTGTGGTTATATACTCTAATGGCAACTCTAGTCAGGTACTGTTTTGGTTGAAGCCATGGTCCTACAAGATGACTGCCAGCGAGTGAAGCTACTGAAACGTCAAGGCATCCCAGTGCTCCCATCTAACCTTAGGAGTCCCAATCTGCTTCAGGACATTTAGGAGTAAAGGTGCCTAAGTTAGCTCAGGAACTCTCTGGGTTTACCTAACAATTTGAGATTAAAATACCACCCTGATACTGCCCCTCTCTAGCTACAGTAGCTCCAAGGCTACAGTGCCAGAGTGAGTTTTCCTATTTAACACCATGATTGCAGGAAGTACCCAGGCCTTTGGGTATCCCTGTGGATTTTATGACCCTTCTATCCTCTTCATTTTCCCAATCCCTTCCCGACCTCTCCTTGATACATATGATCGATGTTTTAAGGAGCCCAAAGATACACTCCGAATCCTGAACTCTACCAAGTTGTCATGGTTAGCTTCATCCTCTTTTGGCATCACAGAATGCAGAGCTGGAAGACCCCAGATATTGGCAATGGTCATCTCCCTTGGCCTCAAGATTTGGTTTAGAGAAGGGAAGTGATTTACGTAAGTAAATTAGGAGCAGCATGGGAGAACAGAACTGAGGGCTCCTGTTTCCTTGCCTGGTACTCTTCTGTACTCCACTATGTTGCCATCTTCGGACATTTAAACAAACTTTAAACAGTTCCCTAATGGCCAAAGGAGGAAAAACACATAATGAAAAAAGGGGGGGAGGGGGAGCTAAAATCAGTAGTCTTTGGAGATAGTCAATGGAACACTCAAGAGAAGCTGAGTACTATCTGGTGGTCCTGGTAGTAGTGAAGGAAACAGATTCTCTTTAGGTGAAGGTAATGTCTTATTTGGGTTGATGGCTATATCAATGCATGTCACAGAGGGGAAGAGGAAAAAAACCACTGAGACAAAGTATTTAGTTTCAGGAGTTTTCCCACCACCCCACTTTGAAGCACTTTATTCTATTGCATGTTGGAACCTTGAAGCACTTTAGTCTATTGCATGTTGGAACCTGCAACATATGGCTTATTAAAAAGATGAGGAAAATCAAGGGAGAGTTTTGAAAAACTGTTAGTTCGCTGTGACTAATATAAATTAGAGAACTGATAGATAAGACTCTTGAAAGGGAAGGGTGATCTTTATTGAGGTCCACACCCTACCTACCACCTGGAATCCTGGCCTGTCAAAGCACCCTTTTTCCTTCTACCTTATCCCCTAACTGCCAGTGCAACTGCCTATTTTCCAGTTATATATCCTCAACTGGCACTGCAGTGGTTATAATCCAATTTCTGTAGTGATCGGTTCACAAAGTTAAGATCAAAGAGAGTATTATGATTATTGAAATGTATATTTTTTCACCTCTGTTCTGTACCCATTAAATAGTTCTTTTTTCTTTCCAATATTATACTGGCTAGGGACAGATCTCAGAATAGAAGGGAACATATAAAGGTCTAGTCTAATCTCATTCTTGAGTCCCCTTTACACACGCTCAAACCCCAGAGCAGCCCTACTTCTACTTTATGTGACTCCACTTAACAGCCTTATATATACTTGAAGACCATGATGATGCTAAATTTTCTTCTCTATTATAAACATCCCTAGCTTATTATCAAATGATACAATTTAAAATCCTTCCACTCTCCAGAACAAGTACCAGTTTGTCTTCATTTTTCCTAAGATGCAGCTCAAACCTTATAGCCCGTCTGACTATAAATACAAGCCTGCAGAATGGTGATTCTTAATGTGGTAAGAGCCAATTGCACCAGAATTATCTGGTGTACTAGTTGAAAATGCCGATTTGGGAGCCTTACAAATATTGGGAGCTGCAAATATTATCCTTTTAAGTCTAAACCTTCTTCCCAGTCAGTAATTAAAACAACATAGCCTATCTGTAATTATTAATCTTACAGCCAGTGAAAACAATAGATTTGATTCTGTGGTCAAGATCACACATCCCTCTTGACCACAGATCACTAGAATACTCCTCTCAAGCAAGAGAGCCAGACAGTAAAGAAAGTAGGCAGCTAAAGAGCTAAGTCCTCACCTGATGAGCTGCTGCATGGATGTTGCGTTTCTCATTGATAATTACATTTGGCAAATTCTTGTCTTTCCTTGGAGGACCCTCAGGGGCTTTTATGAGAAACCTGGAAAGCAAAACAGCAGGATGGCTGACTGGAAGCATTAAGGACTTAATCAAAAGGGCAGGGAGGACACTTAAGGGCGAGGTGGGAGAACCTGGTGCCTTTCTGACAGGCTTTCTTTCCTTGTTCTTACCGGCGTCTTTTCTTGGCACTGGGCTTCAGGCCCACCCCACCCCACTCGCCCCAGCCAGGTAGTGTCAGGTCCACGTCCTGTGGCTTGCTCGCCTCCACAGCTTCCCTTTTCTCTTTCAAGAAGTCTCTGATGACATCATCCCCAGCAAAAGCTTCCTTTATCATTTGCTTTTGGTCTCTCTCCACTTCATCTTCCTGAGAAGAAACAAGAGGGAGAACTACAAACTTGCCTTATGAGCCATGGTTCCCCGCAAGCACGCTTGAATTTTAGGTCGTGACATTTTGGCGCCCCCTAGGGGGAAGTGCTGAACAATGATGGTCTTGCAATATAAACCAATTGGTAGCCAATCATGCTCTAATTTTCCTCTCTCTAGGGTAAATATCCCTAACTCATTATCATGACACAATTTTAAACTTTTCAGTGAGGAAGCTGCAGGGTGGCGGAAGGAATGGCCTGTTAGTAGCAGGAGTTCCAAGTGGCCTGGCTGGAATGTGGGCTTCCTCTAGCTTATATCCCTGGAAGACAGGCACTTTAGCAGTTTCAATTACTTAATTAGGCAGTCCTGGGCCATATCAGATCCCACTGAGTAAAACTTTGGCAACAGCTCAAGGACTCACCTTGAGTTGTCCTGCCTGGGATCTGGTCAGAGCTCTGAGTTACTCCCTCTTTCCTCTGAGGGCAGTTTTAGAGCCACTTCAGAGTAGTTTTGGTGGCTCAGGATTTAGGATGTGGGGGCCATGGCAGCACCCACATATTTGCATCTATTAAAAATGTCACTGGGACCAGCCTGGCCCTGTACTGTTCTGGACCTGTCAATTACTGAAAAGTGTCCCCAACAAAACAAAGCTTTACCACTCCTTGTGCAAGAAGGATACTTTCCACACCAAATATGATCCCACACAACGGCCCATGACCCTGGCTCTGCTCACCAACTCCTCTATTGTGGGAACTGCCAAAGACTTCACGGAAGGAGATTTTGTGGTTAGGAGGTTCTTTAGGTCAATCATTTGCTCCTTCCTTTTCTTCTTAGGGGCATCAGTCTGATTATTTGGGTTCTTCTTCAACCGATGCCCTTCTAACATAGGTCTAGGAAGCTCCTTATTTTGAAAACATCCTTCTTTCTCCAGCTCTTCTAGCTCTTCCAGAGTCTGTACTCTCTCGGGCCTCTGCAGCAACAGAGGTTCTTCTTCTTCTGGGGCAGGTTCCTCTCTCTGGACCTGAGGAACAGTCTCCATTGAACTTGCTTTTTGCTTCCTGGACTGATGGCTTTCCTTGAATTTCTGAGACAGTGTTCTCAATTCAAATAGCACCTCCTGGCTGGTAGAATCTGGGGGTGGGGGTGGGGGTGGGAATGAAGCTGTCAGAAAAGGAGGTTTGGAAGTTCCTTTGTCAATGAGCATTTGTTGAGTACCCACTGGGTGCGCTAGATACCACGTAAGACATTCTAACAAGGACAAATGGGGAAGAGAAGATTCTGCATGCTGGATCTCCTGGAAAGTTCACTAATCATTACCAGAGTTTAGTAGTTTAAAGCAGCATGTTGGGAAGCAGACATCCTGGGTCCTATTCCCAGCTTCACCAATGACTCACTGTATACCAGGACTGTGGCTTAAATTTTCCTATACAGTAAACCCTGCTTGGGAAGATTGCCTCAAGTTCCAAATTTAAAAAAAGCCATTTTAACAAGTGGCCTCTGAATATGCTTTACTACTTATAAAAGCCTTATCCAGTATTGTTTTATCTTGACTCAAGAATTCCCACTCCATATCTTAAGGCAGTATTTCATAATCTGCTATGGCCAAGTCAAGAACAGATTAAGTAGCTGCTTTTTAATAGTGGACGTAGCTTGCACTTTCTAGTCACTGGCGCCATCTGAGCAAATACCGCTAAGTCTCCACAGCCTGAAGGGAAACATGGCAGTGGCAGACTCCTAAAGTATCCTTTGTACTGATGCAAGTTGCCTTCATTCCCATGTTGATCCTGCTCTCTAAGCTTTGGCTTGAAGCCATTGCAACTCCTCAGATCTGGTCTTTGGACACATACACATTTATTTCCCAAGAATCAAGTTTTGCTCATTTTGATTGAAGTCCGACTTTTCACTATTTTAGGACATTCTTTTTCGGAAGGTTTGGGAAAATTCTATTTATTTATTATCCAGAAATCCAAATCCACCTTTCATACTACAACTAATTGCTCTACACATTTAGCTAGATGGCCAGTTAAGAGAGCTCAAGAGGCCGCTGCTGGGGTCCTGTGATTGTATATGGACTGCCCCACAATCTCAGCCTACAGTGCTACTTTCCAAAATCCTCTCAGAAGTGGCTACTTGTTAACTATTAATCCCAGAAATCTTTAGCTGAAACCATTAAGGTCCCTACAACACATTGTAAATGACTGGACTTTTAAAATACATTTTTGCCATGTAAAAACAGATTTTTGGTGTCATCTAAATGCATTCATATATGAAATCAAATCATACCTGAGAATCTGTCCAGATAGCCAGGTGATTTCTGAATGTAAGTAGTCTCCTAAGCAGGCTTCATAATATCCTGGTTTATTCCCAGAATGGAAGCTCTCTAACCAATCTCAAGGGTGCTAACATTGTTAACATAAAATCTCTTTAAGATAACACGTAGAAAATATACAAATAGTCTGAGCATGGGGTCACAATTCTAATTTGTCATGTAGCCTGTGGAGTCATTCATTCCTGTAAAGTCTCACCCCATAGACACATATAAACTAGCATTAAGAAGTGTAAAAAATGCTACTCCTAGGGCAGGCGTGGTGGCTCATACCTATAATCCTAGCCCTCTGGGAGGCCGAGGCGGGAGGATCACTCAAGGTCAGGAGTTTGAAACCAGCCTGAGCAACAGCGAGACCCCATCTCTACTAAAAATAGAAAGAAATTAATTGGCCGACTAAAAATATATAGAAAAAAATTAGCCGGGCATGGTGGCACATGCCTTGTAGTCCCAGCTACTCAGGAGGCTGAGGCAGAAGGATCGCTTGAGCCCAGGAGTTTGAGGTTGCTGTGAGCTAGGCTGATGCCACTCTAGCCAGGGCAACAGAGTGAGACTGTCTCAAAACAAAACAAAAAAAAGCCACTTCTACTTACAAACAAAAAACTCCAGCAATTTGAAGAAGTTTCATAATGTCTCAAAGCCCACCTATCTATGTCTATAGGTGTGAATGGATTTTCAGATTTGCCATCTCACCATATGCACTTCTCTCTGGTTTGTAGGTACCAGGAATATTAACTCATGCCCTTACTTTGAAGATGGTTATGTCTTTAAGAAGGCCGTAAGCCCCCAAGAGCAGAAAACGTGTCTGAATGAACACACTACACAGCCATGCAGATAACAGCTTATTAAATACTTATTATTATGAATCTAATTTCTCTTCAGAGACCCAGTATACTCACTCTTGAAAGTCCCCAGGGCCTAATCTCTATGCAGCATGTGTGGGTGGACACTTTTCTCTCACAGTCCATCCACAGCATTATGAAGTTCTCCCTTCCATTTTATCATAGCTCACCTTTTGTTTCTTGACTGCCCCGTAACTCAGCATCCTGGTTGAGCTCGGACCTTTTTCTAAGGGATCGCCTTTTCTCAAATTCTTTCAACACAATTTCTTCCTCTGTCACTGGTCTTTCATCCTCACTTTCAGAAACATTGTGGGCCAAAGGCTCTGGCAGTTGTTCAGGGTCCTCCTGGATTTCACCCTCTTTTGCATCACTGGTGCAACTCCTGAGCATCCAGGGATTCAGTCCATCTGCATTCATCTGTGCTTCATTCACTGCATCGAGGACGAGTTCTTCTACTTCTGTGCCTCCCTCTTCTTCCTCACTCTCTGAGGCTGCTTGGAGTTTCTGCGTCAGTTCTTTGTTCTTGGCCAGTTGTTCCTGCATAGCTTGTCGAGCCTGGAGAAAGCATGAGAACCTTGTCATTAGTAATCACACTAACACCTTTCCTGGTCCATTTCTTTCTTCTCCCCCCAACCCCCCCCCCTTTTTTTTTTAAAGAGACAGGGTCTCTTTCCATTACCCAGGCTGGAGTTCAAAGGCACCATCACAGCTCACTGCAGTCTCAATCTCTTAGGCTCAAAGAATCCTTTCACCTTAGTCTGTCGAGTAGTTAGGACTATAGGTGTGTGCCACCATGCCCAGCTAGCCTGGTCCATTTCTTAAAGTTGCTTCCTCTTGATTTGACAAGTATTTCCTACTGGTATTTACTGTTTCAAATGCACACACACTACTATGTTAGTAGCTATGGAATAAAATGGAAGACAATTTTTTTTTTTTTTTGAGACAGAGTCTCACTCTGTTGCCTTGGCTAGAGTGCTGTGGCGTCAGTCTAGCTCACAGCAACCTCAAACTCCTGGGCTCAACCGATCTTTCTGCCTCAGCCTCCTGAGTAGCTGGGACTACAGGCATGCACCGCCATGCCTGGCTAATATTTTATATATTTTTTTAGTTGTCCAGCTAATTTCTTTCAATTTTTAGTAGAGACGGGGTCTTGCTCTTGCTCAGGTTGGTCTCTAAATCCTAACCTTGAGTGATCCTCCCTCCTGGGCCTCCCAGAGTGCTAGGATTACAGGCATGAGCCACCGTGCCCGGCCTGGAAGACAGATTCTTTGCCCTTAAGGAATCAACATGTAAAACAAAACAAATAAAAATCTCCTCTCCCCTTTACTGGACTTGCCTTCAATGCTGTTTCCCTTTCATCTCTCCTTTTCCACCTTGTTCCTGGTCATTTTCCTCTCTGCCTTAGAGATTTTTATGATGCCTTTTTAGACTCCTGTTTTTCCATCCATCCTCATGGCTCTTCCCAAACTCTGCTTCTGCTAGCATCCTTATGGACTGATTTTCCTTTCTTTCCTCCAATGCCAAATCTTCTGTCACCCTGATGGTCTCTTACCTCCAGGTCATATTTGGCCATAATTGCCTTTGATTTGGCCCATTTCCCACTGTTCTGGTGCTTAAGGCTCATTCGCTCCTGGAAAGAGAGACAGTTTGAGATCATTAGCACCTTCCAGGGAAAGTTGGTTCAAAGGGGTGGAGGTGAGAGGGGCAAGAGACAGTCTCACCATCATTCTGGCCTTTTCAATTTTTTCCAGTTCTTCCAAAGCTGCAGTTGGATCGACCTTTTGCAGGTGCTCAAACTCTTTTAGGGCTTGCTTGGCCTTTGCTTTCTTCACGACTCTGTGATACCTATAGGGTAAGGGGGTAGGAGGGAAGAGTTTAGAGGTTTAGCCGAAGCATTGATGCCACAGGCACACGTGCCCATGCTACCCAAGGGGTTTCCCCAAGCAGGGGGCTAGAATGGACATCATAGAGCTAGCTGGCTGTAGGGAGCCAGTTTGGGACCTGAGATGATTGGCAGGACTATTGGTTCCTGCAGTCCCCAGGGGCAGATCTCTGCAGGGCAAAGAGTCCCCTCTCCTTCTATAGCCGAAAGGAGGAGTAGAACAAATTTCAGAGAGGGAAAAAGTCAGGAAGGAAGCCCTACTGGCTTTAACAGCTGTGGAAGAGCTTATTCTGCATGAAAGGGGAAACTGACACTTGTACCCCCATAATACGCTAAAATAAAACTTAAAAAAAGGGGGGAAACTGAGAGAAAGTAATTGAACAATCCTCTTTTTAGCAAAACCAAGAATGAAAGCCAAAGCCAGAGGAGAGAGTATTACTGGATCAGGCAAAACTATGTGAAGTTGGTTTGGGGGAAAAACGCCTAGTCATTCCTATTTTGGACCTCTTCTACATGACCCTAGTTATTACATGAAAGGTTCTCTCCTAAGAATTTATGACTAGCCACATCACTTTCTTCCATGGAACCCAAGGCCAGTTCACAGGGGCCTCCTTACTTTTTGCTTTTGATTTTCTTCTCTCTTCGAGCCCTGGCCTCATAGTAGGACTGTAGAGCCCGGGCCCTCTGAAGCTCTGCTCGGCGCATCTTTGCCTACAACGAATGAATGACATTTACAGGCTGGGCTGTGAGGGCAAATGCTGGGAGAAGCATAGCATGCCTGGGTATGTCCAAGAGCCTATGATGCTTACCTCTTCCAGGCTCATGGCTTTGAGAGAGGCCTTTTCCACAGGAGTCAGTAAAGGGTCTGTCACTGGCTGCTTGTTCTTATGGAGGAGGTTAAAAATTTCTTGCTCCAGCGGAGTTCTTGCCTTAAGGAGGTAACAAAACATTCTAAGTCTTAAGCCATGCTCTTATAGCTCTCTCTCTACATTCCCATGACTGTCTAATTCATGAAGCTATAATTGGAATCACTAACTGGATAGGATTGGCTGTTACCGTAAAAGAAGGGGGTTCTGGTCTTGCTGTTCAGCTATGTAAATAAAGCCTTATTTTATTCTGATTTAAGACAACTTCAGCAAGGGAATTTTGAGGTTACTCTCTAATATTACCAAGGAGGACCACTCTGTGTTCAGGTTACCAATATACGTAAAACAGAATTCCATTCTCTTAAGAATCTAAGCAGGATGCCCTTAAGGTAAATGCTGGCATGACTGGGAACAGCAGTACCAGACTATAACAGTCTCAACAGTCAAAACAGTCCTTATATTGTAATGTATATTTAAAGCACATATTACCCTATATTTAGGAAATCTCAGATTCACATCATAAAAGCCTCCTTTTGAGAATATTTCTAGAAGGAAGGGGAGGTTAGATCTTAAGACAAGCATTATTTGTCATACATGGTATAACCGGGAAATAAATCTACACGATGGCCCATAGGGGAACCCCCACTTTTTCAAACCACAGCTAATTGCTACTAATCATGTATGTGTATGTTCCTGGTATCATTAATTACTGTTGAAAGGAAACAAGGAAACCATGGCATTCTTTGGCACATTCTACAAATTTAGTTTATGGCAGGGTATGTGTTTTAATTTCCTGAGCACAAAAGAACATTGCCTTAAAAAAATATGACCTTTACGTAATTAGCCTGGCAGCTTCCTGGCAGTTCAAACTCTCATTTTCTAACTTTGGCTCCAATTCCTTTGTTTCTAGCTGATTTTGCATGCTAGGCAGTGTGTATATGTATGAAATGAATGAAATGTGAACCAGTTATTTCACATGTCCACAAAAGCCCTCGTTTGCTGCTTGACTAATGTTGTAAGAATGGCTAAAATAATCAGGCCAATCATGCCACAGACCACTCAGGCAAGGCACAAAGACAGCCCTAGGCAAGAGAGCCAGTTTCAAACCTCATACACATATTATGTATGGTTTTCTTCAATAGCCATATACATCATGGTCAGTATTAAACTTACAAATATCTAGACAAATGCATAAACACACATCATCACACATTACATGGTGCTATTGATTTATCCATAAACGTATTCTACTGAATAGTAAAGGTGCATGTTCTTCCATTTTTTGGATTTGTAGTAGTGATCAATCACAGGGTATACTGTGATTTATATTACAATGTTGTAATCTCCCTTCAATTCAATTCAATTCAATTTACAAACATTTATTGATTGCAGCTACATTCCAGGCACTTGTGTGGGGTGCTAGGAATGCACAATTGATTAAGATAGTTCCTGTCCTCATAGAGCTCACAGCCTTTCAGAGCAAAGAGATACATACAACACTAACAACAAAACATAACAGATTAAATGTTATTTTATAGGGGTAATCAGAGGGAAGAACCATCAATTATTATTAGGAGGTGGGTTAGGCTTAGGGGAAAGGAAGTGACTTTTTGAACTGGCTTTGAGGCCTAAGTACAATTCTGTGAGAAGGAAAAAAAAATCCACAGAGATGAGCATTAAGCAAAAGCACAGACATAGGGAAATGAGTGTATGTAAGAGAACAATGTGTTGTCCAGTGTAGCTAAAATGCTAGGTGCTTTTATTTTATTCTTCCCCAAACACGTTCCTTATCAGACAACAAGATTTGCCTTATTTTTTAAAGCTTGAAATTCAATTTATTCAAATCTTAACAAAACTAGCTTGTATATCCTGGTTAGATTAGGGCCAACAGGTGTCTTCACCATCATTTCTTAGCCTTTAAAATGCTATGCCGTGAATCTCCAATCTCTAGCAGGGGCACTCCACATTTTCTAGCAATGGAACCTCACCCCCCTTTGTGAGGGCTTATTGAGAGTCTCAGGTTTTGAGAATACTTTGAGAAATGCCACTGTAGACAGACAATGGAAAGGAGAGAGTGGGTAGAAGAAGTTACCTTACATCATTTCTAGCACTTTGCAGTTTACAAATGCTTTCTCATGTATTATCCCATTTAATTCTTCACAGCTAGAGTCAAATCAAATCTTAGGAAGCTGGACTAAAACTACAGCCAGACTTCTTTGATTCTCAACCTCCAGAAATCCTAGTACAGTATATACTAGTCCTTAGGACTTTGCACTCTAAGTTATAAAGGGAGAACTGGGAGTTGCTAGCCACAAAGCACCCCCTGAACTAAGCATTTCCTTATTTCTCTGTGCCACATTGGCATAATTTCTCAAAAATAAATCTTAGAATGAATAAATGGTACAGTATATTCAACATATAGCATCTGGCCCCACTATGTCTTGAAGAAGTTGTGTCATTCTTAGTGACACAAGAATCATCTTTAATAACACCATCACATCTTTAATAACTTGGTATTTTCCTGCTATCTCTAAGATTACACTGTCATCTGGAAAAAGCAGGTGCAGAACAGTGGTAGTAGCATACTACCATTTTTTGATTTAAAAAGGAGATAAACATAAATATATAAATAAAACTTTTAAGTCAACAACAACAATAAAAAGCTTACGACTTTTTACTTCTGGGTGAATATGGGGGTAAAAATGACCAGATGGGGCACAGGGGTGGGGTCAGACTTTTCACTACATAATTTCTATCCCTTTTATTTTTGAATCCTGCAAATTGTATTACCTCTTAAATTTTTTTTTCCTAAAGTCTCCCTTCATTCTGCAGCCACACTTTAAACCTGATCTCTTTTTCATGTGGAAAAGGAAGTCTCCTAGAAAGAGAATGGTAGTGACTTCAACAACAACATCAGAAACAGAACTTATCCCTTTAATAAGTAACTACTTGCTCAATTTCTAGGTATTGTGGCAACCAATGTTTATTTTAATTAGCTTTAACTAGTTCAACTTTTCAACACATAAGACACCGTCATTCCTGGATTAGAAAGCACGGAGAAGCATAAAGAGGGCATCTATTCATGGCTTAGGCATTGCTGTTTTTCACTATTATTTAAGACAGAGAATCTCATTATAGACTCTATATATCAATGGTGTATTGGAAAAGTAGGCTAGCTGTTCTAAAGCAGTCATTCATAGACTAAAAATTGAGACTTTAGGGACCAACACATAGGATTACCAACTTTTAATTTTGCCAAGAGCATAACTACCATTCCACCCACAACCCCATCATTTACTACCACCATAATTTCATAAAAGAAGATACCAACATCATTCAAGTAGAAAGGATAACCTCAGCATAAAGAAGAGCTGGCAGCCAGGCTCGGTGGCTCACGCCTGTAATCCTAGCACTCTGGGAAGCCAAGGCAGGTGGATCGCTCAAGGTCAGGAGTTCAAAACCAGCCTGAGCAAGAGCGAGACCTCGTCTGTACTAAAAAATAGAAACAAATTAATTGGCCAACTAAAAATATATAGAAAAAAATTAGCCGGGCAAGGTGGCACATGCCTGTAGTCCCGGCTACTTGGGAGGTTGAGGCAGAAGAATTGCTTAAGCCCAGGAGTTTGAGGTTGCTGTGAGCTAGGCTGACACCATGGCACTCTAGCCAGGGCAACAGAGTGAGACTCTGTCCTCCCCCCCCCCCAAAAAAAAAGAGCTGGCAACATTTGGTGGGTACCAAACAAACATACTCGCAATTACCCTTTTCCTTCAGATGGATAAAAACTTTGTCAGGGGTCAGTGTTTGGGAAACCCAGTTCTAAATAAAATATTATTCCCCCTTGCCCATTGCAGCTCAGAGTCATCATGAGTTACTTGCTAAAGTTCTAGTCATTACTAGCAACACATTATATTTTAACGTGGTATTCCTTTACATGCAGGCTTTGGGTTATGTTGCTTGTATATTTTAAGGCATCATTAATGCAACCCAGTTCCCAATTTTCCTAGGATTAGAATATGGCTTTAAGTGCTTTTTTTTTTTTTTTTTTTTTTTTTGAGACAGAGTCTTGCTTTGTTGCCCAGGCTAGAGTGAGTGCCATGGTGTCGGCCTCACTCACAGCAACCTCAAACTCCTGGGCTCAAGCAATCCTCCTGCCTCAGCCTCCCGAGTAGCTGGGACTACAGACATGCGCCACCATGCCCAGCTAATTTTTCCTATATATATTAGTTGGCCAATTAATGTCTTTCTATTTTTAGCAGAGACGGGGTCTCACTCTTGCTCAGGCTGGTTTCGAACTCCTGACCTCGAGCAATCTGCCCACCTCGGCCTCCCAGAGTGCTAGGATTACACGCGTGAGCCACCGCGCCCAGCCGGCTTTAAGTGCTTTTTAAGAACTGGAGTATAAAAAAGAAAACATTGTTATGGTCCCTCTATACTGGCAATCAGATGTTTTAACAAAAAAACATGGAAAAGGCCAAGTACTATATACTAAAAGCAAATGAAAAGTGACTGCAGAGCTCCTGTATATTGCATGACTGACAATGAAGATATGTTACCCCACTTTCTCCCTTTCTGACCACTAAGCTAAGATGACTTAAGCTGGGATTTAGGCTTCACATGTCCAATCAAATCAATCACCAGCTCTGAAATCTCAAAGTTGCAAAATCTCACCTTTCAAGGTTCAGTTTCATTTTGTTGTACTCACCTTCCAGCCACTGAGCACATGTTCAATGGGAGCAAAGGCTGGCTGCTCCTTCTCCACAGGAAAAACCAGCTGCTCTGCTTGCCGGTTCTTCAGTACAATAGGATCCCATTTGGAGAGGACTTGTGAGGTATTATTGAATGCAATTTCTCTGTGGATCTGAAGCAGGCAAAGTCCATAAAAGGAAAGAGCCACAAGATTAAGCATCAAATGCAAAGCACTAACAAGAATTAAAGGCAATATTTCTTAGCCCAAGAAAGAATCAGGATGCTAGGGATTACCTCTTGCTTCTAGGACTGCATTTTCCCCTAGATTATTTTTAACCTTGTCCATGATGGAGAAATCACAACTCCCCCCGTCCCATATTTCTGGCCTTTTCCCTCTTGCTCTTATTATATTACTCTATTTTCCCTTGTCAATTCAACTTCTTCCCTTTAGTGGACCACTTTCTCTGTAACTCACCCGTTCAACCTCTTCTTTATTAAGGGGTAACTCCAAAGTCTTCTTTGATTTGACTCTATTCAGTTGCTTTTTCACAGTGGCCAACGAGGATGAAGTTTTAACAGGCTCAAGCAGATCTGCAAGGACCAGCTTTTCTCCTGATCCTATAGAAAGGCCAAACTTTCTGGTCAGACTGAGAAGTAGAGCAAAATCTTAATATAATATAGGGAGTATCCTAAGTAAAAAATGCTGGTACATCAGCAAATGTGCAGGGAAACAAGAATAATTCTCTTACTTCAATCCCCCTATTCCTAACCATGGTGACACCATCACTCTCCTACGTTCACCCCCAAATGTGTTGGGCGAGGGTAGAAGAGAGAAGCAAAACATTTATTCAAAAAGTCATGTGCTTTTCTCCTGGTTTTTCTGCTTCCACTCTTTTTTTTTTTTTTTTTTTTTTGAGACAGAGTCTCGCTTTGTTGTCCAGGCTAGAGTGAGTGCCGTGGCGTCAGCCTAGCTCACAGCAACCTCAAACTCCTGGCTCCAGTGATCCTCTGCTCACCTCCTGAGAGCTGGGACTACAGGCATCGCCACCTATGCCCGGCTAATTTTTTATATATATTCAGTGGCCAATTAATTTCTTCTATTTATAGTAGAGACGGGCTCGCTCTTGCTCAGGCTGGTTTTGAACTCCTGACCTTGAGCAATCCACCCGCCTCGGCCTCCCAAGAGCTAGGATTACAGGCGTGAGCCACAGTGCCCGGCCTTGCTTCCACTCTTGCCATACCACAATTCATTCTTAACATAGCAGCCAAAGTAACCTTTTGAAAATATACTGGAAAGCCGAGGCGGGTGGATTGCTCGAGGTCAGGAGTTCAAAACCAGCCTGAGAAAGAGCGAGACCCTGTCTCTACTATAAATAAAAAGAAATTAATTGGCCAACTAATATATATAGAAAAAATTAGCCGGGCATGGTGGCACATGCCTATAGTCCCAGCTACTTGGGAGGCTGAGGTAGGAGGATTGCCTGAGCCCAGGAGTTTGAGGTTGCTATGAGCTAGGCTGGGACTCACTCTACCTGGGCAACAAAGCGAGACTGTCTCAAAAAAAAAAAAAAAAAAAAAAAAAAAGAAAAGAAAACAAAAAGAAAATATAAACCACAGCATGTCATGACCCTGCTGAAAATCCTCCAATGACTTCCCATCATACCTGTAATCTCATCAACCTAAAGGACATAGCCCTATGGGATCTGGTACCCATTTGCCTCTCTAACTTCATGTAATTCCCCACCCTCTACTATGCTCTGTAGTCACATGGGCCTTCTTCCTATTCTTCCAACATGCTGTGCTGTCTCTAAGAGTCTTTGCACTTCCCAGGCCTGAAATGCCTTCTCTTATTTTTGCATGGTTGACTTTGTTATTCAGATCTCAAAATTTGCTTCTTCACAGACCTTTCATGACCAATCAATTTAAAGTAGCCACTTAGTCACTTTATTGCATCATCTTGTGTTACTCTTTTTTTTTTTTTTTTTTGAGACAGGGTCTCACTCTGTCACCCAGGCTAGAGTGCAGTGGTGTCATCATAGCTCACTGCAACCTCACACTACTGGGTTCAAACAATCCTCTGGCCTCTGCCTCCCAAGTAGCTGGGACTACAGGTGCGTGCCACCATGCCTGGCTAATTTTTCTATTTTCTGTAGAGACAGGGTCTTGTGCTTTCTCAGGCTGGTCTTGAACTCCTGACCTCAAGTGATCTTCCTGTCTTGGTCTCCCTAAGTGCTAGGATGCATCATTTTGTTTTAATTCACTGATTATCTCCCCTCATTAGAATGTTAGCCCTCTAAGATCATGTCTTATTCTTCACTGTAGCCTTAGGACCTAGAACAATTACTGATACATAGAAGTATAACAAATATCTGAATGAATATGCTTGGAAGAAATACATTGTTACTTGCTCTGAGAGGCTACACCAGTAGTGACTACAAACACAAAACCCATTCCAGCTGCTTAAGTTGTGAAGAGGGTGAAAAAGAGCTGGCATCTAGACTTGGTATTAAGTTAAAACCCCAACTTTGCCAAACTTATTAGAGCATGTATTCTTCACATGGGTGATTTTTCACCACCCCCTGGGGTAGAAATTGGTTCGGGGTGGGGAGGGGTTGGAAACAATTCTCAGATATTACAAAGTTTTGTGTCCCTCCAAAGCTCAAGACTGTCCAACAAAATCTTATTCCTTAGTATTTGATTTCATGGGGTGGAGGGGAGGCAGGGGGTGGGAAGAATAAAAATGTCTAAAGAAAAAAAGGTTGAGGAACACTGTACTAGGTGATGGCCCTTAAGTAACTTGACCTCTGAGCTCCAGCTGAAGAAAACATCTGCCTGTCTTAACTCAAAGAATTTTGAGAGAACTGAAATAAAAATGAAATTGTGCACACTAAAGAGCTATACAAATATGAAGTATGACTAAGCTAGTAAGTGACAGCCTCTATCCCAGAAGTATCTCATCAAGCTCCATAGGTCAAGAACATAGCCTTCTAGGCTTTCTTTGAGAAATGGAAGAAATTCAAAGGCACTTGACTACCTTTCTTCACCCACCATCCTTGGTACATATGGTATGAGTCATTAACCACATCAAAGACAGCTCCTGCGGGGTAGGGGTGGGAGTGAGGTGACCACTGTGCATCGGGAACCGCACAAGCTCTAGGCATAGATATCTTCCTTTGGTCAACTTACCTTCAGAACTGACATTGAACTCTGACACTTTCAGGCTAGCCTCAGATCTCTCAGCCAATTTCCGCCTGGAATTAGGCAAAACAATACAATAGGAATGGGTAGATTTTGTAGGGGAACAAACACTTCTCAAACAAGGCTTCAGTTTTTTGTATTTCTCTCCTAGGGTCAGGTTTTTGTCACAAAGCAACCAGGAAATCTATTTCTAATCTGGATTTGGTAGTCTAACCCTAATCTCTTCTCTTTATGTAGACTCAGCCCCTCAAGAACACAGGGTAATACAAGGTAGGCATTGTGGAAAACATATTGGACTTTGATTCAAACACCTGAATCTGCCACTTATGAGCCAGGTGACCTTGGGGTAAGTCAATTAACTTATTCTCATTCTCTACTGGGAATAGGTAATGCCTACTCAATGCTTCAAAAGATTGTAAGTGTGAATTAAGTAAGAATTCAAATGCATGAAGGCCTAACACAATAACAGCAATAAGGATAATAATAGCTAACAATTATATAATGCTGATTATGTGCCAAGCACTGGTATTAAGATCTTTACACTAGGCACTCAATAAATGTTAGCTAGAGAGAAGTCTCATGGCATCAGCTATAACCTGCCCAAATTGATGGGAATGTTACCTATTCTTTCCACCAAGGGAACTGATTGCTTCCAGAAGCTTTTGATGCTTTCTCTCTTCATCACTGTCCCCCTAGACACAGAAAAGGAAAAACCATCAAATAATGAGGGGAGGGAAAAGACAACATGGAAACTGAGGCCCATTAACATCTCTCATTCTTTTGGTCAGTGGAGAATGGGGAAATCAGATGAGGTCTGGTGTGCAGGCATTCTAGCTGAAACTGAAAGAATAGGTTCAAAATCCAAACTCTCTCATTATAAGAAACATAGACTCTTAGTAACTTGGGAGCTAATGTCATGCCTCTGTCCTAACTTGTTTTGGGACAAAAAGAGCTGAGAATGATGTTTCTGCATAGTATAGTGTGATGTGGCACAAAACACCTAACATATAGTATAAGTCATAGCCACAGTCACCGAGGTGGCTTTTCCTAGAGAAAACAACAACTGGGCCGGCCGTGGTGGCTCATGCCTGTAATCACAGCACTCTGGGAGGCCAAGGCAAGAGGATTGTTTGAGCTCAGAAGTTTAAAACCAGCCTGAGCAAGAGTGAGACCCTGTCTATACTAAAAATAGAAAAAATTAGCTGGGGTGTGGTGGCACACCTGTAGTCCCAGCTACTAAGGAGGCTGAGGCAGGAGGATGGCTTAAGCCCAGGAGTCTGAGGTTGATATGAGCTAGGCTGACACCACGGTACTCTAGCCCCAGGTGACAGAGTGAGATTCTGTCTCCAAAAAAAAAAAAAAGAAAGAAAGAAAGAAAGAAAGGCCAGGCACAGTGGCTCATGACTGTAATCCTAGCACTCTGGGAGGCTGAGGCAGGAGGATCGCTTGAGGTTAGGAGTTCAAGACCAGCCTGAGCAAGAGACCCCATCTCTACGGAAAAAAAAAAAAAGAAAAGAAATTAGCTGGACAACTAAAAGTATATATATATACACACACAAAAAAAAAATTAGCCAGGCATGGTGGCACATGCCTATAGTCCCAGCTACTAGGGAGGCTGAGTAGTAGATTGCTTGAGCCTAGGAGTTGAGGTTGATGTGAGCTAGGCTGACGCCACAGTACTCTAGCGGGCAACAGAGTGAGACTCTGGTCTAAAAAACAAAAAAAGAGAAAAAAGCAAACAAAAAACCCCTCCTTGTTATTAAAACAGATATGCTGTATGCCCCCACCCAAGAAAAACCAACTTAAGTCATTTGTCAAGGGAATAAAGAGTTGGAATTCCTATAAGCATCTGTTGGAAATCCAGCTTAAAACAGTATATTTCAGTCAGACAATTAATATACTCTTCACAGAAATTCAAACTTGGGAAATGGGGAAGTCATATAATGAAGACCATGTATTTTGGCCTTATAAACTATAAACAACTTGAGGACAGTGATTTTAACTTATGGACTTCAAAGTTCCAAAGCACTTAATACAATACTTATACATGAACAAATAATACAATGTTACACTCTCCTTTCTCGGAAGGTCTACCTGCTTTTGAGGGCAGTTTAGTGGCTGTCACCACTCATCATCTCACTGGCACTCAACGGTGTCTTTTGGCAAATCCATTCTTCCTTTGGTCAAAGCCAGAAGGCTGTTAAAAGGTAACAGAGAATAGTATCCATTGGAAAAACTTTCCATTAAAACATTATATATTTAGTTTCAGCACGGAATAGCCCATCTCTTAGAAGATGTACAAATAAACAAGTGAACACCTTGGAAATTTGTCAAAACATTGAATTTAAACTGAAGTCAGCATTACCTCTAAGAGGTGAGCAGTGGTTGGTGATAGCCCATATGACACGCCTGAAAAGCCTAACACTGCAGTGACGGCACATTTCCTATTGATCTCTGGGAAACTATAAAAATGTCAAACTCTAGGGTTTAAGGTGGCAGAAGACGCTGTTGCTGCCCTCTAGGTAGGCAGTTACTATTATTATTTCTAAGCGTACTCCTACTCAAAAGTGTCACTTTGATCATTGCTCCCAGGAATGGGGACACAGGGAATTGGTTGAAAGCAGCTGAGTAAGCCATTTTTCTTTGGGTTTGCTCGTAAGGTAAGTGCTTAATTAAGGAGGTTATACCACACAAACAAATTATGTCTGTTACCTAACAGCACGTACCGGTAGTTGCAAGGCAACATTACTAAACGGTCTAAATCTAGTTCGAGGGCACGAAACATCATGTGAAAACGTGGTGAATGACTCCCAATCAGCAAAGGTTCCAAGATGCGGGGAGTTTATAACCACTGCACAGCCTGCGCGTATAAAGCGGGCCGCGGCAGAGCAAGAAAAGGAGTCACGTGACAAAAGTGAAACATATTAACTTAGCTGGAGTGGAGAGGCAGCATCAGGGATGCTGCTAAAGCTGAGAGGAAAAAGCCAATTAAATTAATTAAATTAAAAGGGCTAGATAGGATGAGTCACAGAAAATAGTAACGAGTGGCGAAATCTTAGAAGGGAGCCACTGTCGTCTGTTAACAAGGCAGCTCCCATTTCCCCAAATCTGGGGAACCGGCCCTCAAGGAGACCCAGAACCCACTATCTCCTATTATCGCTCACCTCTCCGCAGCTCGGTCCGCGGTCATCATCAGCAGCCTGCTTTGCTCACGTGGACCAAGAGCGGAAGCCGAAAGGAAAGGAATTCCGTGCGGCGCCGCAAAAGCATTCCGTGCGGCCGCAAAGCATTCTGCTTCCGCCAATCGCGCGCGACAGTCACGTCACTTCCCCTTCGTCCGAGGCATGTTAGGAAGTAAGCCATTTCGGAAGGCTGCAGAAATCGGGGAATAGTAGATTGAAACGCCTTCAGCGGCGCGGGCTGTGTTTTCCCTCCCACCTCCAACTCTCTGGTGTGTCAGTGTCTGTCCTGTTGGCCCTGGTATTCCAGCGGTCTAAAGTGAGAGAGCTTAGCGCGGGTGCTGCGCGCTGTCAGGACTAACGCTGAGTTTTCATTTCTCCCTGTCTACACAAAAGGAAAGACTCCAGCGCCCGCGTTTGACAGCGTCCTGCAAGCCGGCCACCGGCAGCTCAGGGCTTCATTGAACCCTCTTGTTTTTTTGTTTTTGTTTTTTTTGCAGATTTATACACATTTAATAGAAAGAAGCACATGATATATATGTATAATTAAATCATTTGTTTGTATCTTTATTTGTTGTTAATAGTAATAAATTATAAATAAGAGTGCAATACAGTGATAATTTAGGTAATGTTAATTGTTTAATGCAGTTATCAAATTTCTATTATCTTGAAGAATAGTCATAAGAATTCTAGTTCTTTATTCTCAGAAGAACATTTCATATTAATATAACACATACATTTTTCTTGTAATATATGTAATATGAAATGCATGTATACATAATACATGTATGATATATATATATATAAGCTATTTTTTATTTCAGCATATTATGGGGTACAGATTTTAAAGGTTTCAATAAAGCCCATTTCCCCCTCCCCCCACCAAGTCTGAGTCTCCAGCATGACCATCCCCAGATTGTGCACATCTCACTAATTATATATTATATACCGCCCCTTCCCACTCCCCTGCCAATACCCTATTACTGAGTACCTATGTGACCACTAGGTGCTGTTCAGTTAAACATTTGCTGGTGAGTATATTGGTGGCTTGTTTTCCATTCTTGGGAAACTTCACTTAATAGTATGGGTTCCAGCTCTAACCAGAAAAATATACAGATGTGCTATGCTACCATTGTTCTTAGCGCTGAATAGTACTCCATGGTATACAATACCACATTTATTAATCCATTCTTGGATTGAGGGGCACATTGGGCTGTTTCCACAGCCTTGCAATTATGAAATTGTGCTGCTATAAAATCGATTCGAGTGCAGGTGTCTTGGTAGAGTGTCATTGGATCTTTGGTAGATGCCCAGCAATGGATTGCTGATCAATGGTATGATCACTTGTATCGCTTTAAGGTATCCCATCTTGCTTCCACAGAGGTTGAACTAGTTTGCAGTCCCACCAGCAGTGTAGGAGTGTTCTCTCTCTCCGCATCCATGCCAGCATTTATTGTTTGGAGATTTTGATAAAGGCCATTCTCATGGAGTTAAGTGATATCTCATTGTGGTTTTGATTTGCATTTCCTGATGATTAGAGATGTTGAGCCTTTTTTCATATGTTTGTTGGCCATTCTTCTGTCTTCTTTAGAAAATTCTGTTCAAGTCTTGCCCACTTTTTAATGGGTTAATTATTTTCTTCCTAATTTTTTTTTCTTTTTTTTTTTTTTGAGACAGAGTCTCGCTTTGTTATCCAGGCTAGAGTGAGTGCCGTGCGCTCAGCCTAGCTCACAGCAACCTCAACTCCTGGCCTAAGCAATCCTCCTGCCTCACCTCCCACGGTAGCTGGGACTACAGGCATGTTCCACCATGCCCGGCAATTTTTATATATATATCAGTTGCCAATTAATTTCTTCTATTTATAGTAGACGGGGTCTCGCTCTTGCTCAGGCTGGTTTTGAACTCCTGACCTTTGAGCAATCCGCCCGCTCGGCCTCCCAAGAGCTAGATTACAGGCGTGAGCCACAGCGCCCGGCTTTTCTTCCTAATTTTAGTGAGTTCTAAGTATATTCTAGTTATCAGTCCCTTATCGATGCATAGGATGCAAAAATTTCTCCCATTCTGTAGGTTGTCTGTTTACTTTCATGACTATTTCTTTGGCTGTGCAGAAGCTGTAGTTTGATCATGTCCCATTTATTTATTTTGTTGCTGCTGTGATTGCCTTTGGGACTCTTCATAACTTTTGCCTAGGCATGTCTAGGAGAGTGTTTCAACTTTTTCCTCTAGAATCTCTAATAGTTTCATACCTTAGGTTTAAGTCTGTTTCCAGCATGAGTTGGTTTTGTGAGAGGTGAAAGGTGTGGTCCTGTTTTACGCTTCTAGTCGTGCTATCCAGTTTCCCAGCACCATTTATTGAAAAGGGATTCTTTTCCCCAGCGTATTTTTTTGTCTGCTTTGTCAAAGATTAGATGGCTTATGAGATGGTTTTCTATCAGGATTCACATCTGTTCCACTGGTCAATATTCCTTTTTGTGCCAATACCATATTGATTAATTACTACAGCTTTGTAGTAT